GGGGCACGCCTCATGTCTCACAAAGCAGGTGGAAGAACCAGTCCCTACCTACACATTTGACTGTCTACAAAAACATGACTTCCAGCACCAAAAATCCACTTGCCACTTCAGCATTCTTTTGCCATGACAAAACATTAAAAAAAAATCATGCAACAGCTGCCTTAGCCTTAACACCCAACTACAAAATACACTTAAAGATAATGTGCATTAAACTTCTTTTCTTTTCTCAGAAGGGAAAAATTGGGAAGAAAAGAATAACACTCAAACTACAGTACTTATACTCAAACATTATGTACAGTGAAAGGTTATGAATGTATGCATATTGTTTGTTTGAACTCTTGTAGATGTAAAAAAAGCACCATTGTTTGTTGTCTTTGTTTAATGTACAACTGGTGGTTAGTTATGATATATTCAGCACGTTGGTACTGTCCTCACACGCAACAGAAGGGATATTTATCACTTTCCATTTGAACTGAAGCTACATTTCAAATATGGTCACACTTTTCGTCATGTCAAATATTTCAGTATAGGATAACAAAATTAAAATAACTATGGATTCTAATTTCAGTCCACTCAATATATTAGCTGGTATGTAAAACCATGTACTTCATTAACGGTACTGTAGCATAAAAAAATCTACGTTTCAAAATCAGAAAACTAGTTAAAAGATAACCTATGTATTTTTACAGGGTGGTCCTTAGTCACAGAAACAATTGATATACATTTCAAAATCACAAATGTAGGCTACGCAGAGCACCATTATGTTACTTAGACCAAGTACAAAGAAAATATCAAACTTCTTAAAATTACAATATTCTTTTGGGAAGAGCACTTGCATCTAATTCAAATTCTGAAGACCAGGGTTTGAGGCCAATTATACTCTTTGGGGTTCTCACATCACTCTCTCCAGGCAAATGCTGAGATAGGCCACTGCAACTATCCCTTGACATCCTCAATTACTTTCTTAAATCACTCTTACTTCAACCATTAACAATCACAATACTAACCTAACCTTCCACAAGCTAACATGGTTCATACCTTATCTTGAACCCCATCCCACCTTTCACTTGTATCATTTTATGGACTATTTTACACAAAATTACCTGAGAAACAGAATAAAAATACCCTATGTATCTCAAAATAGCACATGAACACAATAAATTATATGAAAGCAGATTTCAATGAAGTACAAAGCTGCAAGAAAGACAGTGAATATTAAATTGCCGTAACTCTAGGACCAACCTGCATCTTTTTATATATACATACATAAAAAATGTGTGCACACATGCACATACATTAAATTATTCTTTTATATCAAAAATCAACAATTTCTTTAAATTCTTATTAAAAATGACATTTCAAAGTATATTTCAAGTACTCTAGGTTTTAAATATGTGTGATGGAACTGATTCAGGAAAATGTGATATAAATATATATAGTGTTACACCACCAAACACCAATGTAATAACAACATATTAGTATACACTCCACAAAAAGTATTACTTTCATAAAATCAGCGGCTCCTAAAGAACCACAAACTAGTTCCCCTTGCATTCATTCTTTCACAGACAACGCAAATAACAAACGTTGACACATGCCAACTACCTTTCTCAAACTCTGATATGAACTAAGAGAAATTCAATTCATTTACCTCTTATTCTTTAACAAAGAACCCAGAAGAAGTTAAAACATGAGAAAGGTTTTAAATGATTAAAGGCATTCTCCTCTGAGACCAGAGTTCCACACCTGTTACCATGTGCACGGACAGTACCAAGGAGCAACCATCTCCATCCCTCAGTGGGGACGAGAACAGGTATTGAGCAACCAAAGAACTCAGTCTTGAAACCAACAGGTGGCAGAACTACAACTTGGTAAGTGAGGTACAAGACAGATCAACTATGTGGCAAAACACTCAGGAGCTATTCTGCAAAATTAAAAACCTAGTACTGTTTTCACACCCAATTTAGGGCTATCAGAATACTTTAAAATTTCTACATCAGAAGAGAACCAAAATGTATGTGAATAATATCAAGATGTCTTTATGTCCAACACAGAACCTAAGACAGTTTAAAGATAAACTAGCAACACCCATTTCAAATGTTAATAACAAATACAAATTACACAAAACAATTTTACTGTAAACACATACAGTTTTTGTACTGTTTGTATATTACTTGTAAACAATTAATAAAATTAAGATTGTAAGAATTTTGTGAGTGTGTATTTCATCAATATAAAGTAATAGTATTACGCATAAATTAGATAACACAATGTTTATTATATAACATCCATGCCACTTATTTGTAAAACACAGCATGAATATAATCCATAAAAGCTTCTATATGAAATTACGATCTTAATTTTAACCAGTCCCATTTTCCACAATTTCATTCACTTGAAGGAAATTCTGGTGTAG